TTTTTAATTTCCTAAAATAAAGTAATGTAATCTTAGCCATTGATCAAAAAAATGAATGGATGAGATTGGTTTACACAAATGGATCAAGTTTTTATTTGAACGCTCCTCTTTATATATATATATATTGTAAAAGGGCAAATGCTAATTAATCATCTTTCTCATAATAAATGTAAAATAACAGTTGGGTCATGGAGAACCTGTCCATATTTCTCATACTACAGCTTTTGTTTTATCATAGGATGGAGCTAAAGTTGCAGAAAGGAAGATATGTCCCGTGTTGACAAGAGATAAGAGTTCCTATCTTATATATTATTGCAATACTTGTATTCGCATTTTGGAAGAGATTCTCACTCTGCAAATTAGCTCGGCCAAATATATGAATACGAGTGAATGTTTGTAGTTTCGTTGCACACTAACCATTGTCCTTGACATATAAAAAAAAGTAAACCAAAAGGTTATAAATATTAGTTGCAACAGAACTACAAGCATAATGGTTATAAAACTCATTCGGGCTTTTCAAAACTGAATTGTTTGGATAGCGGAACTCAACTAGAACTCTAATCATAAAATCAGATATTTTGTTTCAAAGGAAGTGTTTATATGTGATAGTTCCCTTGGTATTTTGTAAAGAGGTCATATCCAAAGGAGATATTGTTTAAAAGTTTGAGAAAAACTTACGAGATATCGAAATAAAATGCGAGCAGTAATCAAGAAATCACCACTCCTCTTTCATGATGTATTTGTCTGTTGGATTAACCCAAGGTTGTTGCAGGAGGTCCATCGGTAACAAGATTCATCCATAGAAGCTGAACAGGAATCATGCCTTCTACCTTCTGAAATCCCAATGGCAGCAGTCAGCAATATACTAGCAACCTCGCCAATATTTGAAGAAATCATATACCTGCGGCATGTGGAGAATCTGCAATTAGTCCAGGCTACTTTCAAGCTCTATCTGGTACTTATCCATCTTTGGGCCAATTTGGCAGACACATTAGAATTTTAAAAATAATAAACTAGAAAAGAAAGATAAACAAACCGGATAAAGGCCTTCATATTGTTGTAGATAGATCTGCCTTCTCCAACTGCAGCTACAATTGGAAAGCTAAGATTTCAGACTTCGGTCTTTCCAAATTCGGCCCTGCTGACCAACAATTCTCTTTTCTTGTCTTTAATGGCGTAGGAAAATTTGGTTATTGCGATCCATTGTACCTGAATACTATTCAGGCTTCTTGACAAAAGAAATTGACGTCTAATCTTTCGGGGTAGTGTTGTTTGAAGTTCTCTGCGGAAGACTTTGTGTACAAACTTACAAAGATAAAAACATCATCGATTTTTCAAAATCACATAAGATCATACTATAACATCCGCTGAGATAAAAAATAAAATGAAATATTAAAATCGAGATTTATCTCGTTGCATTGCGCGAGTACCCTTCTAGTATAAAAAACATACGTAAACCTAAACATCTCTTTACGAATCTATCTAATATGAACTGCGACCAAATTACTAGGATCCGTAATATGTCAAAAACAGAAAACAAGCATAATTTCCATGCCAAACCAGTTTTGAATTGTTTCATCTTTCATCTCCTCAACTAAATTTTCACTCTATGTACAATCCTGAGGCCTCCCAGTTCACTATTCACACAATGAGAAGTAGATGGACCTGCAACAACACGACCACATACAAATAAATTCAACAAATACTTAATCACACCAAAGGGCATTTTGCCTAGCAATATCCGATACAAGGGTTCAAACCTCATTAAAAATGAGGAGGGGTGTGAGTTCATTTGCCGTATATAATTAGGTTCTTGCAGGAATCCAGACAATCCTATTAGTTAGGGGAATCAAAGCAACTAGGTCTTTAAATTAAAGTTATAGTGTACACACACACACATATTAAGTCTATGAATCCTCCATATTTTAAGGTTTAACGACACCTTTATATTCTCTCTTTGATCATTTTTTTCCATTTGGTCACATAAATCTTTATCTGGGTATTGGATGTTTATTCTCTCTTCGGTTCACCTTATACCATACTGAAACAACCCATATGACTAATAACAATTTGTTGAGTGAGGATTGTTCTGCAAATCTTGGACAAATTTCTGAAAACCTAATAAGTTGCCTGATACTTGTCCAGTCTCTTGTTTTTTCCTGAAAAGTATGGCCGGACATACATGCGAAAATTATATTTCAAACTAAATCAAGTATGGGTAACCAGAAACATCTTACCTTGATGCTCTGCCTTAGGGTAACCAGAAATTGTCTATATCTGGTAACTGAAAGGCAGAGTTGCAAAACCTTAGGGTGTCTGCAAATAGATTCCGACACATGAAATTAACCAAAAAGTATAGACACGTTCATGTGATCTATACACACACACATATAATATAAATATAAATAAATAAATATATATATATATATATATATATAGAGAGAGAGAGAGAGAGACTGGACCTAAATTGGTGAAGTCAGCTGGCAAGCCTGGCGGACCAATCTTTTGGGAGATCTGTCTGAAAAATGTTTGTGAATTAGGATCCATGCTGCCAAATGGTGAAATGGATGCATGCTCAATCGCAGGATGCGCTCCAAGGACATCGCCACCAGTCTGGTAGACAAACCTTGAATTGTCCAAATAGCCCGGTTCACTTTTGATTACAATCCCTTCCATCATTCTAATGTCTGAGTTATGAGCCAACACCATATTAGATGGAACATCGATCCTTCTGGAATAAGTAGACCGATCAAGAGCATGCTGCATCCCTGAGTGTATAAACGGTCCACAATTATTAAAGCCGTTCACTAGAACCGTTGGAACAGAGGGCTGCATGTTCTCCGTCTTCACTACAATGCCAGTATCAGATGCATAATATGATCCGTTATGGGGCACTGCAAGATAGTACAGCAGACTATTTAGCTAACTGACCTTCTATAAAACTTATTTTAAGAAATCTAACCTTCCATAGCATCATCAAGTTTTTATGGGGGCAGACTGTTTTACACCAGGGGCAGGTCACAAGAAGGTCATTAAGTTAAGGCTATGCTCGTAAGTGAAATCTCATTTAATCAAAGGACACATAATACAATTGATAATAAAACGATAAAAGAAAATAATATAGAAAAGTACAGATAAACGACTTTGAGGAATGCATCCATGGAAAAATCTTGAAGTTGAAGGCAACTTACTTGCTGGCATGTGAGATACATTAGACACTGGCGGAAAAGAGGCTACGCTTGGGTCCACCTGATTCATCAGTGCAACCTGTCTACCAAGCAGATTATTAAATTCCATTATTTGCTCATTCACCACCACCCTCAGATAGTATGACTGAAAAAATTCTTGATTTTGTTCTTCAAGTTTCTGCCAAACTGGAAGACAGAAAACGATTATGTTGAAGATAAATATGTATGTGATGAGGAATTATGTATATGATAGATATAGAGCATTAAAGCTAAAATTAAGTATCATAAATTTAAGTTTATTTTTAGGCCTAAACAATGGTCGGGTCTAACTTGGTTCTCAGGTTTCCAGCATGAGCTGCAGAGCTAGAAGAGCAAAACATTGAGGGTCCCTCATGCATATCTAATTTATACAAAATAAGATCTTCTTGGTTGCATGTGTGACAGGAAAACTATGTGTTAAATACAGAAAAAAAAACGATTGTGTAACCAGAAACTACAAAATAAAGAGAGGAAACACGTTACAGGACTCAAATTACATACCAGTCTCTGTAAAGGCAGGCTCTATGTGCTGTAGCTGATAGAGAATATCTATGACCTGCTTCTGGGTCATATAATGCAGCAGACATTGTTCTATGAGACTTTCTACCTGAATTCAGAGATAAAAAGTACATAATGATCAGACATTCAGAGAACACGTCCCGGAGTAGATATTGATTCCCATAAACTTAGAATACTTCGAGTTTTAGTCGTTGTTGCAATGCCCATTAATCCATTTTCTTCATTGAATACTTGAAAATCCAATATACTCCATTCATAAAAAACGAGTACACTTCTTTGGGTCAAATGGACTACTTGCAACTTCAAAACTAGCACCACAGATTTAAACTTTTTAGCAGATGTTGATGACCATAACAGACCATAACAACACTATAAGTAAGTATATGCTAATGTCCAATCCGTAGCATCACTCTCGATAATTTTGAATATGTAAATAGTCCAATTTGACCAAGAAAAATTGATTTACTAAATGGAACCAGGTGCCATAAGGAATTCTCAAGTTCATATAAATCAAGATTCAAAAATCCCAGGTGAAAGCCTAAGGGCCCGTTTGGTTTGCGAGATTTGGTAGGATTTGAAAGTTAAATTTCATTCCAATCCTATCTTTGATTTGAAGGAACGTGTGGATTTGAAATCCCAGAATTTCAATGAAATTCCACAGCCGGGATTTAGAAATCCCATGGGGGAATTTGGTATTTCACGGGATTTCATAGATTTGTTTGTAATAATGTTTTAAAAACGTGTTAAAAACATTCGTTTTGTAATAGTCAAATTATAAAAAATAATATAATTATTTTAATAATCATTTATAATTTGTTTTTATAAATTATCTATAAAGTATTGAATTCAATTCCATTCCAAATCTTGCAAACCAAACACACTAAAAATTCCAAATCCTTCCACGAAATTCAATTCCCTCAAAAACATTCCTTCAAACCAAAAGCCGCTCAAGAGAATTTGTTAAAGAAACCAAAGCATCTATGAGAGAAACCTAAAATTCTGCATCAGTTATGAGCAATTGAATGCAAACAAGAATCAAATGAGATCTAGCACAAAAAGCCTTACCTTAACTAAATCTTCAAAACAGACCTTTATGTACTCTCCGGTAGACATTTTCTTTACGGTTCTTAGTGAAGGAAACACACATCAAACAAATATTTACTGCAAACATAGTTAAAAATCGGTCAGAGAACAGAAGATGCATAAATCACCAAATATACAGTGGCGGACCCAGGATTTTAGGTGAGCGGGGGCACAAACGAAAAGCTTAAGATAGAATTTTTTAAGTAAAAATATGATTTCATTAAAACGATAAAAATAAGTTTCCTTTTACAATTGTTCTTGAAGGGGCCTCAACTTTTGAAAGCGGGTACATCATCATTCGTGACATTGCAAATCCATTTGATGTGTTTATAGCCAAATTCCATCGTTTCAAGAGATTCTTTAAGTTTTTTGTTGATTTCAAGGGATTTTTTAAGTTTTTTTGCCTGATCCGAAACTTATTTGGTAGATTTCAAGAGAATTTTTCGGTTTTGTGGTTGATTTTGAGGGACTTATTCTGTTTTTTTGGTTGATTTTCTAAAACTTTCTCGACTTTTGGGATTTGATTCTCGTCATCCTTTCCCTATTTTCAAGGTTTCTAATTTTGTTTCCTTATACATCTAGGATTTGATTACTAAATAGGATGTTTTGCAAATTAAAATGAACCAACCAAATTAAAAGAACCTAGATTAATTAAACAAATTAACACTAACAAGACAGCAACTAAGGTTGACAAAATTGATAATAATCTAAGATTTTTTTTTTATTAACCTGGATATTCAACCCGCTATGCGAGCCGACTAATCCCAGAGCGACCACCTGCTTTGTAGATAGCCCGGAGTCGCATTTGAACCTCTGTGGCCACAAGCGAATTTGAACTGGTACCTCCTGGTACTTTTAACCTTTGGAGCAAAGCTCCAACTAATCAGACACCACCCTTGTGGTTGGTTAATAATCTAAGAAAATTAACATCAAATTGACGCAAATAATCAATTTAGGGCCAATGACTAATATCAAATTAACACAAATAAAGCAATTTAGGGAAAATAAAACAACTAATGTTGAGAAAATAAAAATGATCTAAAAAATCAAAACAAACAAATAAATCATGTAAACAGGACTAATCAATTTAGGGCATATGACTAATATCAAATTTAGGGCAAAAATACATGTCAAGATTAAAACTCAATTCCTCAAATGTAAAAAACTTAAAACAAACAAATGTATCATGCAGACATAATTGTGCAACATCAGAATCAACCAATGTAGGGCAAAATTTTAAATTTGAGTTATGTCGTGGGACAAAACCTGAATGAGAGATTGAGAGAGTGTCCGAGTGAGTGCAAGAACCTGAGATAACTGGCCAGAGCCGCCGAACAGCGGTGAGGGCGCTGGGCCCACGGCAGATGCCGACGCCGTGAGGGGAAGAAAGAAGAGACGAAGAACTCGGGGCCGTTTGAAGTTTGTTAGAAGTTTTTTTAATTTATAAATTTTTGAAACCCCCTCTTGGTGCTCTTTGTTTTAAAAAGAAAATCAGAAATTACAGTTTGGTCCTCCATCTTTGTATTTTTGTTTAATTGGTGCATATTTCACACAAATATACAATTATTGTTAAGTTGGTCCCTTCATTTTTAAGTTTGGTGCACCCCTCAATTTTTAGCGGATCATCTCTCATATGCTAAAAAAAGTTTACCTTACAAATCTAGATCTTAATGCATGCATGGGGTCCTATTCTCCATGCTATAGGTCTCTCTCTACTGATATAAGATACATAAGGAGTGTTTGTGATTGCTTATTTGAAACAACTTATGTTATTTTACAAAACCACTTATCAACTTATTATAAGTCAGAAGAGAAATAAACTAATAAGTTAATGAGCACTTTTACAAAAAAGCATAAGTTGTTTTAAATAAGCAATCGCAAACACCCCCTTAGAGAAAATTTGGCGAAAATGATGAAGGGGAGAGAGGAGGCGAAATCAAATGCAAGAGAAGGGTTTCAGATGCAGGGCAACAGGTGGGTAGAGAAACAAACCAAATATTTATTTTACCGGGTAAGATTATAGTAAATTAAAGTGGTACCGTATGCAACAATTTACCCGGTAAGCACTTACCCGGGTAAGAGTTGTTACATTCATTTACCGAGTAAGACTCTCCATCTTTATCATTGCTCTTACCGGGTAATATAACTTGTACGAATTTTATAAAATCAGTACACTGTTTTTGTCTAAAATCCACCCATTTCAAAGAATGGTGATTATTAGGGGTGAGCATAGGAGGGTACCCGCCCTATTTGACAGGAACTGGAACCGGCGGTTCTTGAGATATTGGAACCGGAACCGGAACCGGTTAGAGCGGTTCTTGAATTTTTAGAACACGGTTTCGGGTACCCGCTTACTAAAATATCAAAATTTTGTTATTTAGAAATAAAAAATAAAACATTGCCAAAACACTAAATAAGTAAACAATAATACAAATTATACGGAATAATGGTTACAAATATTGTTTAACGATTACAAATTATAATAGA